TAAAATGACCTTGCGGGGTGGGCAGCCGATGTACTATGCAGATGTTCTTTCCTCCTAGTACGAATCTGCGACCAGTTCACGGAAGCGAGAAGGCTTGATTGGCGCTGAGCGGGACTCGACGTGGGAATTGAACCCAGGACGCTGCGAGTCGGAAAGCGCGCTATTGCTCAACAACCACCTCTCCTCATTCAAAACTAACAGCAAATAAATTAGCACGACAACAAACACAAGGCCCACTGGCCAAAAACACACTGACGCTGATAAAAGCATAATGGCATCGAAAGCTTTCCGGTATTCGACCAATCGCCTTCTCTGGAGGGGCGGGGGCGCACTGAATGTCTTCCCACTCAGAAACTCAGCAACATTCAAAACCCTTGGGCTTTGTCCTGCTCGACATGCGGGGCGGTCCGATGTAAGCCAGCGCTTTTATTTTCCCAGCTTAATCAGCTGGGCATATCTTAGGCTTGATTTTGCCCTTGCAGACTGGACTGTGCCTTACCAATGGTGCAATTCGGCCTGGTGATGGCACTTCGCTGGTTCCCGTCGGCCACTGCCGATATTTCCCGTGGAGACCTGTGGAATCCTGTAAAGCTATGCAAGGTATAGCACAAGCTTTGTTACACTTGACGAGAGTCTACAGGTCTCACCAAGGTGGCACGTGTAGTATTATAAACAGTAACTAGGAAAAGTAACTAGCGAGATTTCAAAATGCCCCTCCCAAGCATAACAGCGCAAATTTTCTATACTGAAGAGCACACTTACCGCAATGTTAGCCACTATTTTTACATGATAACGTAGAACCTTCCGAATAATCTCGGCTTTCACTGGCTAGGGGTATTGGTGGCAAAACATCAGCTGCTGGAATAGAGGAAAGCCAAGTCCATGAAAATATAATATTAGGGGTGGAGTCCGGCTTACCGTTATCCCTTTCTCACTGGAGCTCCCCTTCTTCCAAAGACGGCAAAGTGAAGGAGCGTTAAGATGAGCAGGACATGACTGTAGGCCTGACTCTGCCTTTGCGGCTTGCAATGTGCCTCACAATAGCAGTCGGTGAATGGAAGCAGAGAGACCCTTTTCATTTGCCTATTAATGGTTGTATTCTATCGGCGGCGCAGTTCGGCTTAATGGGGGTATTTCACCGTTCCCATAAGCCACTGTCGATACTTCCCATAGAGACCAGTAAATTCCTCTAAAGCTATGCAAGCGCACAATGCTCCTCCTCCAAGCTGAGCCGAATAGCGCCCTATCGGCTCTATGAGTGACCAAAATAAGCACATTGCGGACCACCGTAGGTGCTGTGCATCGCCCAATTGTTTCTCGTGACTTGATCAAGTGAGTTCCCTCCCTCTTAGATGAGGAGGCGGATCCCATTGATATGAAAAACGTGCCTTTCACAACAGCTAGGAAACGAAAAAGTTAGAGTAATCGAACAAAACGCCACAATAGGAGCAAGATGTAGGCACACACCCTGTGTCTCAACACGGTCACGTAACGGTTTAAAGAACTCAGAATGAGATGTATTAAAGCACAATTCCTATGAACAAAAGGAGCCAAACGCTGCAATTCAACGATGACAAAGGAATGACGTGAGGAAGTGACGTTTCGAGCAATTCAATTAAAGGCGGCACAGTCGATGCTAACCATGAGCCTTAGAAAAACATGAAGTCTTACCCGTCAAAGGAACAAGAGAAGGCATAAAGACACGGACTTGACTAACAACAGTGGACGTCAGCCACGCCCTCACTTTCTGACTTCCGCAATTGGGCACACATCACGGGCGAAGGGTTTGGAGTGGGTCATTTTTGGGCCCATTTTTGCCCCGAGCTAGAGAACCTTGACGTCATGGATGGATCTAGTCATTTGAATGCAATAACGTTACCATAGTAGAAATTGATCGCAATCAGGAAAAAAACCAGCAGATGAGATGAGCTCTCAGTGGACATAAACAGCGGATAATTGTAGACTCAACGACAATGGAGGTCGGCAACGGGGGGCATTTTGCACCTTTGTTACTTTCCATAGACGTGTCGAGCCATCTACAGTGCTACACAAGAGTTGACAGGTTTTATGAGCGTGACTCGACGAGCTTGCTCCAGCTTCACAAAAGTTCACAGGGTTTCACCAGAATGAGACTTGTAAATCGGAGCTAGCGAAGCTGCAAATGCCCCCCCCTCCCTCGTCGCCGAACAGCGCCTAATGGAGAATAACGTGAAAACAGGGCTCAGCGTTGACCACTCCCCTCACTTGTAAAAGTTGGTCCCATTTGGGAAACTCTGTGCAGTTCCCTTTTACTCGAAGCCAAGAGGTTTACGTGGATGCCACCGGGTATTTAATTTTTTTCTCAGACTTAGGGAACGAGCCTTGAACCCGTTTCTAATGCATTTGGGGGGAACTGAATCCGCTTCTTGAGCATGAGAAACGAAAGCGTCAATAATAATAATAATAATAATAATAATAATAATAATAATAATAATAATAATAATAATAATAATAATAATAATAATAATAATAATAATAATAATAATAATAATAATAATAATAATAAAGTGCGAGTTGCGTACGCAAGTGATTTCACTAGCAGGGCACGTACGTTGAGTATACCCAGCGAGGGAGTCGTATTTTGTCACTGAACGGAGGTAGAAGCGCGAGGGAGAGAGGGGGGGGGAGGAAGTTCGGGTTTGCTTTCGGAAAAATGTTTCCGTTTGCTATACTATTTTCCTAGTTTTTTTTCCTGCTTCAAGTGTCGCTATACTCTCCCATCCAATTCCCGCACTGCTGCCGACTTCATTTTTCAGGAAAAGAGAGGAATTTCCAAAAAAAAATCTTCGGAATAGCGGTGGGAAGTCAGGAGAAACAAGAACGATGGTAGGAACTGTAGGCGCATTGAGGGGAAAGCCGGGCGGGGCGGGGGGAGGAGAGGTCCTATTCCACGGAATTTTTCCCCAACGGTAGAGGTGTCCTGACTAAGGAACATTAGATAGTTACGTCGCCATCTTCGTGGAACCTCGTGGTTCTCCGTGGAACAATCCCCGGACAGCATTTCTGAGCCGGGCCAACCAGACCTCCCCCCTGCCCCACCCTGATGGCTTAGGCAGCGTTCACAACTTTGTAGCCGCTACAGGCCGTCGCGCCTATCTGCGGTCGGCGCTACAGCGTCGCGCTACAGCGTCGCGCTACAGCGTCGCGCTACAGCGTCGCGCTACTGCGTCGCGCTACAGCGTCGCGCTACAGCGTCGCGCTACTGCGTTCGCCGGCTAACAAGCGTGCGCGCTTACAGCGCTCGCGCTACAGCCCGTCGCCGCATATAAGGCGGATGAGCGCTGGTACAACTGGAGTTCGGTACAACTGTAGGGCAACAGTTGTACCGAACTCCAGCTTTTATGTTTTTTTCTTTCTATATCATCCTCTTCTCTTTGTTTCTCATATTTATCTGATAGTGAGCTCCTGTTTTCTACTTTATCACATTTTGATGTAGTTTTTGATACAGAAGACTGTGATAATTGGTTTTATTTATCGTTTCTGACTTTAGTTATTTGGTTTCACAGTTGCTTGATGTTTGATGGCTAAATGTGATAAAGTAGAAAACAGAGCTCATATTAGATGAATATTAGAAACAAAGAGAAGAGGATTGAATACAGAAAGAATGAATACGGAATCCAATGCCGCTTATCAATTATGGGGCGAAATCTGCTTTTAGAGTTTGCCCCCAATCTCTGCCTGGATCACAGGAAAAAAAAAAAAAGATTTATGCCGGTTTTCGAGGCATTCACAGCCAACAAAGCCTGACAGTTTCTTGTACTTTTTTTGGCCTAGGAGAGTATCAGTATTGAGTCGCATTTGTCGGCAGCAGAAAAAAATGGCCTTATCTCCCACAACAGGCACGCGAAGACTGTCTGATCACCAATGCGTTAGCACAATGCAAACAAGAAGTTCCTTCATGGTTCTTGTGTCTCCGGTAAAAAACATGCATGCGTGTTTTAGGTGGCGCGAGTACTCTTTGGGTGTTTTTTGCAGAAAATGCTCTTAATAGGACAGAAGGACACTGTTACGCTAAAAGCAGTACCAGAAAAATAGTGACTAATGGAGTAACTGTCAAGGATGGTCAGATAGTTACAGCTGTATCAGTCTCACCTTTCCGTGAATTTCTCAAGAAAACTCCAGCAACCTTCCCACTTTTCTCTGTAAGCAACTCTAATCATCCTAACGTTGGAAATTGCAGTACGTTGCGAAGGCGGCCGCCTGTAGCGCGACGCTGTAGCGCGACGCAGTAGCGCGACGCTGTAGCGCGACGCTGTAGCGCGACGCTGTAGCGCGACGCTGTAGCGCGACGCAGTAGCGCGACGCAGTAGCGACGCTGACGCAGTAGGCGACGCCTGGGTAGCCGCCTTACAAAGTGTGAAACGCTGCCTATAGGGAACATATACCCACTTGCTCGAGAGGCGGTGAAGCATTGAACTGTACATCGGCTACGCTCGCAATAAAAGTACACCTAGATGAAAAAAAAAACTGTGCACATGCAAGCATTACCACGATTCCGAGTGGAAATCGAAGATATGGCGCATTCCAAGTATTGGCCAACGGCAAAAAAGTGTGGACTGTCTTAGCGACTGGAACCCAATAGCTGGCATTCCTCCTGGCCTCACACAGTCTTCCCAGGCATATTTTGCAAAGTTATTGTTTACGTCAAAGAACACAAAGGCTGGATCAGGACGCGGTGGATCCAGTACACGGCCTGGATTATGGCTTACGCCCCTTGTCGGCCTGGCGTCAGCCAGCATTTAGCAACGAAAAACAAATTAATAAAATGGCCCCATGAGAATGAGGTATAGTGGGAAGACAATGCTCTCAATATCGATCGCTAGAGAAAAACATTCAAATTCGATGCGTTGAACAGAAAACACGCAGTGTTTGATGTCTGGGAAATGTCGAGAATGTTCCCGATAACAGGGTGGGTGGGCTGGCTGGCACCGGAATGAGTGGGCGCGCTAATTTTCACCTACCTTAGTGGCAGCGGTAAGGATGACCAGGTCGCGTATCTGTCGATTGCGCGGATCGGACCCGATGTTGATACAGATGATATGAAGGCCATCGTCCAAAATATAGCCGACAGAGGCGATGATATGCAAGGGAACTCGAACTTCAACCAGCTGAAATAAAGATAAATAAAATAATAAGCAAAATAAAAAAGTGAGTTCAGTAAATAGCAGTGGAAATGACTGAAAATAACAGCGGATAGACCTTGTGAAAATGGCGTCTGTCTAGTTTGCTAGTTTTTTTCTTGCTAGCTCCCGCCGATTTGAACTTCTCCCCTTCCTTACCTTGATGATGGAGAGGGCGTGGTTGCTTTTTCACTCGAACGAAACGGCAACTGCGTTCTAAGTCGAATACTGCCATTTTGATAATCATGTCGTCATCTGGCAAGACGGCATCTTGTTATGAGAGCGCAACTTCTATGAAACATCCCCAGAACAAATTCTCCTACGTCGGTGTTTCCAATGACGGTTTAGCACGCACCCATTCATCTCTGGGTACAGAATGGACTTTGTAAGGTTGTTCTGAACTCTTGTCAACCGCAAACGAATGCTTCGTGCTGTTGCAAAGTTCTGAGTGAGTTTACAGGTCTCAAGGAGGCGTAGGCAATGATCGGTGCGAAACAGAATGCCCCCACCAGGCCGACCTGCGCCGAGTAATCAAGTGAGGAAATAAAACTGCCCCCTCAAGAAACGAAAACAGCCGTACAATCCTGGACTACTAGCAAAAATCGATGAAAAAATAACGAAATTATAGTTTTATTGAACACCTCAAGGTGCGCTATGCAGCTTTCTCCAGTATCAGACCTGTGACACCTCATCTTAAATGTACCATTTGGCTTCTTCTAAATTTATTCCACGATGACTGAATGGGCGGAGAGATAATTGCAGACTCATATCATCTGTACCTGCTTCACTGCGTCATTTGTACGCATTTCGTCACTTCTGTGTACAAAAAATTGAAGTTAAGCACGCTGGCAAAATGAGCCCGCGACATTTCTAAGTCCATTCAATGGTCGCGGAACAGCCTCGGAATGAGCAAAGTAAGCAGCAATGAGGAATGTACAGTAGTTTCGACTCTCCGCCTCAAGGAATGTAATTATGGAACTCTCAAACTACCAATTGCCTAATTGTAAGTCAGAGGTGTCCGCTCTACCGCACAATTTAGCCATGACATCAGGAAAAACTTAGAGCTGCGGACGGGATACAGCATCGTTGTGTGAAACACATAGGGAGCCTGTACTTTCCGATGGGGGAGGACCGTCGTAGTTGGTCGCTGCCGGGAGAGGGGGTTTGTATATATGTGGCTCTGAAAGAATTTTGCCGCGTTGGGAAAGAATTTTTGTTGACTTTTCGTGATTTTGTCCCGTTTTCAGTTGCGTATTATATCACCCCCCCCCCCCCCCCCCCGCCGCCAACCCCCCCCATCCTCCCCCCTCCCGCCCGCCCGCTCGAGGAGAGTTTTGGGGAAAAGTAGGAAAATATACGGGAAATTCGGGAAATAGCGGTATAAAGTTGGGGAAGGATTTGAGGAACTTTCCCGTTTCACACTGGCTACTGTACCACATCCCCCCCCCCCTCCGCACCCGCTTGAGGGAAATTTTTTGGGTGAGAAGCTGGAAAATGCGGGAAATTGTTAGGAAGGTGTTAGGGAAGGGGTGGGGAGGGTCCGAGACCCTCTTCTAGGGTGGAGGACGGGGGTAGTAGCAGTCTCTCCTTCAAGAGGAGGAATCGCACTGACACCACCATTTCACACATCACGATGCTGTACCCTGTCTGCTAGGCAGCCTTTTCCAACTCTGACGCTATCTTGGCTCACTTATAAGGCCAATGGCCAAAGATTAGTGGTACTTGATCGGCAAATAAGTAGAAGCCAAGCAATGTTAATCCGCTGATAAGGGCGCTGGAATGTTCTTTATCCTGATAAGCATCTTTGCAGGAGTCAAATTTAGCACAGGGGCCGACCGGAAGGGAAAAAAGGCGCCGTCGAACCTGAGGGACTATCCAAACAAGCGCAAGGTACTCTCATAAGATGAACCAATGATCATTCACTTTTCCGCATACATTGAGGCTACTTCCTCTATCGCCTTTATCGGAATCTACGCAAGGTTATAACTCGATTTTGGCTCAATTAAGTGGACTACGGGACTTAACCTCCATGTTATGTGAAGAGGGGCCAGCATGGCAAAACAAATTACCACGGTTCTTACCGGGACTATGCTGATGCGCCCATGTACTGCACATTGTAGCAATATTTGTATTGCGTTTTGAATATATATTCCGCCCATTGTGCGAACAAACACACGCCTCCACAGATAATGGGATTGGGTGAAAAACTACGCGTCGACCCACAATCTGCGAGAAGCAAAAGGCAGCTGCTTACCCCACCTTCTCCATTTCAGCACCCATCCACGGTTGCCCATGGTGACTTGGCTTCACTTTCTCCCTTGATCGGGTATATGGCAAGACAGCCGCAACATACCGCGTAGATGGGTGGCGAGCGACGCCCTGCCCGACAGATGAGTTGTCCTGCCTGGCCATGTCATAGGTATGGGAGAGTTCGATGTTGCCTGTCATGGGGTCTTGTCCCTATTTGAATTCGTATAGGTTCCGCTGCCCTATCGACAAATTGATGCACATTGCGAAGTTGCCGTGTTTGACCCGCAAGACACGCCGCGCGCGGCGACAAACTACGATTGTCTTGTCCGTCTCCACTTGAACTTACCCCAGAAAACTTCGACGAATTGCTATGCTGAAAGGACGAAAAGTACTTTTCACATCGTCATTCCCCTACGAGCGACTCAAATACGACCCCCTGATAGGGATTCTTCAAGGGTGATGTGCCGGGGTGATGGATGTGGTCAATCGAACAACAGGAATTCCTGGAATTCCTGAATTTCCTGCGGCTCTAATGAAATGGAAGATTTCGAAATAAAAGAATGGTGATGAATGAGCCGAAAGTGCATTACCACCAGGCATACTCCCATTCATATTTCAAAAATGCCAAAAATAACCCCGGATTTATGTGGTTTCTGAGGAAGCTTTTAGGGTGATACGTCAAAGGGCTCGTTATGAACGTCATGAAATCCGAAAAGCTATTATGGTGGGTGGTCGTATTGATGTACGATGGCGTTGGCAAGGAGATCGTCACCGACCTGCGTACTTGTCGACCAGATTTGTAGATGATGACGATAGATGCTGATCCGATGTGACTGCGGTTGAAGGTTCCTGCATAGGTGAAATCGATCCACCACTCTGAAATAACGAATCTCTCTAGTGGACATGCACTTTACAGGACACATCGTTGTTCGGATTCTCCAACAGGGGGATCGTATTTGGTCGCTGGAGGAGGGGGGTCGTAATTACCTTCCGGCTTTCTGAGAGAGGTTGCTGAGTTTTTGTGGTTTTTCCCGTTTCATGTGTACTATATACCCCTCCCCTCCCCGCTCAACAGCAAAATTTCTGGGAAAAACTAGCAAAATTTTGGGGAATTTACTTATTTATTTCAGGTAAGTGTGGTATTAAACTGGGGGAATTGGAGAAATGAAGAAAATGGTCAGTAGGATGGGGAAGGGGGATCGCACCAGCCCCGTGCACATTGGGATCACTGTAGTATAGTATCAGGGGACTGCTTTATCATCACAATGGTGATGGTGGTGCAGCGGGAAGTAGCGCCAACTGCGCACCACGAATCTCGGATCGGCTTACACCCATTCGAACATACCATCCTTCTTCTTTCCGGGACCGTTAAACAGGTATCAGATCTGCCTGGAAGATGAAGGGGGGGGGGGGTAGGAAGGGCACTGAATTGCTTATCAGCTAGCAACCGTAGGTCCTTATGTGGGCTACATCGCACTCGAAGATCCTTACGAATTGGTATCGTGGTAGAATACCTGCCACAACCGGAGAAAGAGATTCATCGGATAAGCTTCATCACCCACCCTTTTCTCAGAAAACATGCGGATGTGAAATGTTACCTCAAAACG